CATTTTTAGCATTTTAAGACAGTGTTTGAAGAGTTGAAAAAGTCGTCAAAATTGACCAAAATGGTAAGGGGTAAGCCTTACCATTTTGGTCAATTTTGACGACTTTTTCAATGTTTCAAAAAGCAACTAAATATGCTCTAAAATGAAAGATATTAGTCTTAGGAAGCCATTTTTAGCATTTTAAGACAGTGTTTGAAGAGTTGAAAAAGTCGTCAAAATTGACTAAGGGGTAAGCCTTACCATTTTGGTCAATTTTGACGATTTTTCAATGTTCCAAAAAACAACCAAATATGCTCTAAAATGAAAGATGGTAGTCTTAGGAAGCTATTTCTAGCATTTTAAGACAGTTTTTGAACAGTTGAAAAAGTCGTCAAAATTGACCAAAATGGTAAGGGGTAAGCCTTACCATTTTGGTCAATTTGACGACTTTTTCAATGTTTCAAAAAGCAACTAAATATGCTCTAAAATGAAAGATATTAGTCTTAGAAAACCATTTTTATCATTTTAAGATACTTTTTGAAGAGTTAAAAAAGTCGTCAAAATTGACTAAGGGGTAAGCCTTACCATTTTCCTCCATTTTGACGATTTTTCAATATTCCAAAAAACAACCAAATACCCTCTAAAATGAAAGATAGTAGTCTTAGGAAAGTATTTTTTAGCATTTTAAGACAGTTTTTGAACAGTTGAAAAAGTCGTCAAAATTGACCAAAATGGTAAGGGGTAAGCCTTACCATTTTGGTCAATTTTGACGACTTTTTCAATGTTTCAAAAAGCAACTAAATTTGCTCTAAAATGAAAGATATTAGTCTTAGGAAGCCATTTTTAGCATTTTAAGACAGTGTTTGAAGAGTTGAAAAAGTCGTCAGAATTGACTAAGGGGTAAGCCTTACCATTTTCCTCCATTTTGACGATTTTTCAATGTTCCAAAAAACAACCAAATATGCTCTAAAATGAAAGATGATAGTCTTAGGAAGCTATTTCTAGCATTTTAAGACAGTTTTTGAACAGTTGAAAAAGTCGTCAAAATTGACCAAAATGGTAAGGGGTAAGCCTTACCATTTTGGTCAATTTGACGACTTTTTCAATGTTTCAAAAAGCAAATAAATATGCTCTAAAATGAAATATATTAATCTTAGGAAGCCATTTTTAGCATTTTAAGACAGTGTTTGAAGAGTTGAAAAAGTCGTCAAAATTGACTAAGGGGTAAGCCTTACCATTTGCTTCATTTTGACGATTTTTCAATGTTCCAAAAACCAACCAAATATGCTCTAAAATGAAAGATATTAGTCTTAAGAATATATTTTTTTAGCATTTTAAGACAGTTTTTGAACCGTTGAAAACGTCGTCAAAATTGAGCAAAATGGTAAGGGGTATAAGCCTTACAATTTTGGTCAATTTTGACGACTTTTTCAATGTTTCAAAAAGCAACTAAATATGCTCTAAAATGAAAGATATTAGTCTTAGGAAGCCATTTTAGCATTTTAAGACAGTTTTTGAAGAGTTGAAAAAGTCGTCAAAATTGACTAAGGGGTAAGCCTTACCATTTGCTTCATTTTGACGATTTTTCAATGTTCCAAAAAACAACCAAATATGCTCTAAAATGAAAGATATTAGTCTTAGAAAACCATTTTTATCATTTTAAGATACTTTTTGAAGTGTTGAAAAAGTCGTCAAAATTGACTAAGGGGTAAGCCTTACCATTTTCCTCCATTTTGACGATTTTTCAATGTTCCAAAAAACAACCAATTATGCTGTAAAATGAAAGATATTAGTCTTAGGACAGAGGAGGTTGGACAGCAGGCCGCAAAGCATGATGGGTATTGAGCGCTCAATTATGCGAACGCTTCATTTGACGTTTTGACTGTCGTGATGTGAAGAGCTCTGCGAGTATAGGAAAAATGGATGCTTTCGAAAGACAGGATTTTCAAGCTGCGATAGTGCAAAATACTATGATGTATATGTATTGTTGCGATCCGCATTACGACTTATCTTTTACTGTACCGAGTTTACCGTTTTTTAAGCTGCATGGGCTTTGCTGCCATTTCGCCTTTCATAATACTCCGTCTGAAAGAAGACTTTGTATTATACCAAACACCGAAGCACTGCTTTCGAAGTTGAATGGCCTTAAATCTCCTTGTGTCATCAACGTTAAAGCAAGTACTATATTTGAGGTTAGTATAAAGTACTTGTCAACACCTCATTTTTTAATATTTTTTATTAACTTTTAAGGCTTGATTTGTGTATTAAAATTTAACTGAAACTTTTTTTTAGTTTGGTACTATCCCTGATGAATTTATTCATTGTAAAGCGGAGAGAATGCTTTTAATTTGGGATTTTGATGTGGATCGTGTATTGACAGAAAATACGAGCGCTGTGGATGCGGTTACTCCTGATTTTGATGACATCGAAATTAATAATGAGGACAGTGAAGAAGATGAAAGTGAAGAAGTTGAAAGTGATGAGGAAGAAATCACTCATGCTCTACCATTCAAGTGCATTGGAGCTGCTCATGAACAAAGTTACCAACATCATCTGGAACAGGCATATCTTGCCCTTGAATATAATGAATCAGTAAATGTTAGACTAAGACCAGAGCCGGAGAATCCTCGGGACCAAAATGCAATTGCTATTGATCTTCATTATGGAACTCAATGGGAAAATGTTGGATATATAGCTTCTGAACATTGCAAGTATTTACATCCACTGATTGCAGCAGGAGATATACTAGACGTCTATGTTGAACACATCAAGTTTCGGGTTAACTTTTTAAAAATAGGATTTTATCCAAAAATCTGGATAAAGAGGCGTGGTAAATGGGAAGGTCAGATTGTAAGGGCTAGTATGAGTGTACGTTGACATATAATTTCATAAGAACCAGGGTTTGCAAGTTGTGAATTTCTGCAATTATTTCCATTGGCTAACCTATGTAGATTTTTCCAGCATTTTTGCCATCAACTTGTTTTTAGTCTGGTTTCCATATGACAATCAAGTTGTTGCATAATAACTAATAATGATAGATATTTTTCTTAATGGTTAACACAACACCCTGACAATGTTGTATGGAAACCAGGCTTTCTATTTTATATCCTCAAAACCTATTGTCTATAACCAAAGCACTTCACTGTCATGTGATATTTCATACAAACCCTTGCAGTATTAAGAAAATTAGAAAAATATTCATACAATACATGGTATAAATATGTAAATCTGTATTTATTGATGAACAAATAAATAAACTCATCAAATTTTATTATGGTTATAAAATATTGTAAGTAAAATTGCCTTGACAAAACAGCCAAGATTTTGCATTTATACATATATTTACATGATGTTCAAAAAAGTAAAAACCTGCATACACACACCATTGTTTTTTGTTTCTATGCTATTGTTTCTATGCTAATAGCATTTACAATTCATGCAAACTTGAAGATCAATGTACTAGATAAGGTGTTCATGCCTTTAGCTTTTCAATCAACCTAATATACATAAATATTGCCAGTTCTAACACACAATGGCTTAGTAATGCAGATCTTAACTCACACTAACTGTAAACATCAACAAGCATCTAAAGAACAGAACCAATATAAAATGTCAGTTTATTTTACTGAAGAAGTGAAAACATATAATCACACAATATGTTTCATATTTATCAATTTTGTGAAGGTGGTGGTGGTGGTAAGCCTTCTGGTTGTTTGAAATGTGCTGATCTAACACTCAATTGACCACGTTGTGGGATTACAGCTAGGCGTTAGCGAATGAGCATAGGAGTCGTCACTGCCAAAAATGGAAATCTATATAAAATACAAAAAAATACTATTTTCCCGTCTAAATGTTAATAACTAAGGAAGTTAAACCATGAATACAAATAAAATTTACATTAATATTACAAATTATGTAGTTAAACAATATTTGAAAGGGAAATATCCCATTGACCCGAAATGCGCTATTTTGAACATCTCAAAACAAGAGTGGTAAATTCAAAGCCCGATATCTCGGAAATGGTGTGGGGTCGCAAGGGGTCGATCCAGCCGATTTTTTTTTTACATACTTAACTTCATTCTTACAAAGAATCTCAAAAATCGAACCACAGGAATTCGAGATTTTCAACTTTGAAAATTGTAAACAGACAAGCACATGACTCATCACTTCGGAACGACCCGACCAACTTCAGTTATAAAAATCGACTTAAAAAGTAACGCTTACCTCGATAATCTCGACAGATATCGCCAGTCCAATGAATCTTTTTTCAAAAAATATGCGTTTTAATCAGTAAACTTTAAAAAATATACTCAATATTTTTATGTTTCTCCGTCTTATGTAAATTTTCTCGCTCAAAATCTTCGCAAGCACGCTTGGAAAATAGCGCAATCTCATTGGTCGAGAAATTCACGTGACAGCTGTCCAACCTCCTCTGGTCTTAGGAAGCAATTTCTAGCATTTTAAGACAGTTTTTGAACAGTTGAAAAAGTCGTCAAAATTGACCAAAATGGTAAGGGGTAAGCCTTGGTCAATTTTAATGACTTTTTCAATGTTTCAAAAAGCAACTAAATATGCTCTAAAATGAAAGATATTAGTCTTAGGAAGCAATTTTTAGCATTTTAAGACAGTTTTTGAAGAGTTGAAAAAGTCGTCAAAATTGACTAAGGGGTAAGTCTTACCATTTTCCTTCATTTTGACGATTTTTTAATGTTCCAAAAACCAACCAAATATGCTCTAAAATGAAAGATATTAGTCTTAGAAAGACTGTTTAGAAAGACTTTAAGACAGTTTTTGAACAGTTGAAAAAGTCGTCAAAATTGACCAAAATGGCAAGGGGTAAGTAAGCCTTGGTCAATTTTAATGACTTTTTCAATGTTTCAAAAAGCAACTAAATATGCTCTAAAATGAAAGATATTAGTCTTAGGAAGCACGTTTTAGCATTTTAAGACAGTTTTTGAACAGTTGAAAAAGTCGTCAAAATTGACTAAGGGGTATAAGCCTTACCATTTGCTCCATTTTGACGATTTTTCAATGTTCCAAAAACCAACCAATTATGCTCTAAAATGAAAGATATTAGTCTTAGGAAGCAATTTTTAGCATTTTAAGACAGTTTTTGAACAGTTGAAAAAGTCGTCAAAATTGACCAAAATCGTAAGGGGTAAGCCTTACCATCTTGGTCAATTTTGACGACTTTTTCAATGTTTCAAAAAGCAACTAAATATGCTCTAAAATGAAAGATATTAGTCTTAGGAAGCCATTTTTAGCATTTTAAGACAGTGTTTGAAGAGTTGAAAAAGTCATCAAAATTGACCAAAATGGTAAGGGTACATCATCATTAAAAAGATTACTTTACATCCACTTACTTTTTTCTACCAAAAAAACAGATAACTGACAGAATTTCAAGCAGCGCGATGCATTGTATTGAACATGAAGCGTAGCCGTGAAACAGGTTCAGTAAATATAGTCCGCTATTTCTTAACAAATACCAGACCATTATACACGACACGAAACATACCAGACCTTTAGAAAATAGAAAATAATTAGTCGTGAGAAAACCAAATGGTCCCAACATTGATCTTTTGCAGCAGCATCTAAATTTCATGTGAATCAGGTTGGACTGATGCAATCATCTGATAATAATTCATCTTAGTAATATGCGAAGGTGCTTCTAGTTTGCCTCAATTAGCTATATCGCATGCTTTAGCAAATGGCGCAAGTTCCATTCTATAGGATATCACTGACAAATGAGAGACGAGATCCGGTGATATCGCGTGTGCTTGAAGCTGAGCATGAAATGCAAATGGAGTCAAACTCACCTGTGGCATACTCGTGTTTCATCGAGGTTATTTCTCTCACAAACAGCACGACAACGAACACCATCCCAGACATGCTTCCGAATCCAGAGAGAAGAGTAAAAAGTAACTTAGCGAAGACCAGAGCGTAGGATACGCGATGTGAGTGAAACTTTCTCTCCAGCTGATGAACGCCAGGGAAAATGCATCTGGAATCTAAGTATAAGAGATAAGAAAGAATTATGAGAATGAAGAAGAAGGAAGAATTGTGCGAATGAAGAAGAAGGAAGAATTATGAGAATGAAGAAGAAGGAAGAATTGTGAGAATGAAGAAGAAGGAAGAATTATGAGAATGAAGAAGAAGATTCCATTCATCCATCGTTGTCATTGAATAGTCAACTGAAAGGTAACATACCGGTTGAGAGAGAAACGAAGCATTACACGACAGTTGACCACCGTCGCTCTCAACTAAAGATCCGTTTAAACTCCTCATTTTTTCCAAGCATTCGGCATGTTTGATATGAGCTTGAAAACCTTGCAGTGAAAATACGATGATGCACGAGCAGATACCGACGATAGTGTCGACAAGACCATCCGTTCAGGTAGCAGCCCTGAACATCAAGCGCTCGTGGTTTAGATGAAGACAAGGACATGTCTCATATGCCATTTGTAGTTCAATGATTCGATCTGACAACTGTCTGACAAAATTGAAACACACCAATTCCCTATCGATGGTGGATATTTTTTGACAGATCGCCTTTCAGGTAAAATTGGGCAATTTTTTTTTACTAGACTTACCCAAAGGGGTAACAGGAGAAGCTAATATTAAACTATAAATTGACTACAGTTTTTGCAATCCAAATTCTAAACCCAAGACCGAGCCGTAACGAGGTACTATAAACTGAAATACATATGATGGCAAAAGCGTAATATTATACTTGTCACCCAAGGATTCAAATATCATTATCGATCATTATTCTTTTCAGATCGAAAACAATTTCTTGTCGACCTTTGATCGGCAGTTTCTTATTTCTAATGCATCTGAAGGTCAAATAATCATTATAGATATGTATGTAGACGGTATTTATATAAGTATAATAATTCTGTTAAACGTAGTCCTCGGTAGTATAGTGGTGAGTATCCCCGCCTGTCACGCGGGAGACCGGGGTTCGATTCCCCGCCGGGGAGAGTTTTTTCTTTTAACGCTGAATTAATTTCTGACACTCACTGAAGCATTCTAACTGCGTAAGAAACTAAAATAACGCCGAAAGAAAATACTTTTTCTACTCGAAATTGAGGAGAAACCCAAATGAAAATATTTTAAAATAATATCACGCAATATATCACGCTTTATAAGTCTTCGTACCCAATCTCAATGGAGACACGGACTGCCCATTTGCGGGTAAGAACTGCTTCCGGCTGCCTCCTATTAGGGCTGGTGCAATATTGTTTTTAAGGCGTACAAACCAACAAACTTCGCTTATTTTCTTTTGCCCAATTTCTTTCAGTTTACGATTCCTCTCGTTCCTTTTCTAAAGCCTCGCATTGAAATTGACAAAAAAGTAATTCCCGCTGGCGTTTGCTAGCATAAATAGTCGATAAGCAAAAATTCTAACTTACCGTCATGACAGAATACGCAGTAGACCGCCTCATATTTCCTCCGCGGTGTGACCATTAAATGAGTGCATATAAAGTAGCTGTGGCAGAAAGTCCACGGATAAAAGATTTATTCCTAAATTTTCGCGTGTGTGCATATAATGCTGTATATATATACCAAATATAGGATATACTATATTTACACCTATTTACAAGTATTACACCAATTCTTCCGTTCAAGAGATGTGCATCAATCATCGTCGTCTTCATCGTCTACGTCATCACCGTCCTCCCCAGGCTCCATAGCTTCCTCTTCTGCAGCTTTGGCCGCTTGCTCTTCTTCGACCGTGGGGTCGTCTATCTCTGTCACCTCCGGCCCCACCGGGAATTCCTCCATAACTGGTGGTAAGGACGGGGGGGTGTAACCATGTGGGATGTATTTCTGACCCCAACCAACATAGATGTTTTCGAATTTTCTGCGAAATGATGATTATTTGATTTCAAAAATTTTTTTATAGACAATGCATTTGATCTTGCGCAAATCCTTTGTTATGTGTTTTAACAAACAAAAACCTAACTGTTCCTGTCGGCGACCACAACATCCACAAAAACATTATTTGTAACTTTACTCAACGTACGTGAAAGAGCGACGAATTTTCAAAATTCAAAAAAGGTAAATAATTAACAAAAACATGAACTGCAGACGGCTCAGCAGAGCAAATTTACTCACGTGTCATGCGCAAAGGCGAAGGCGCCAGGCCAGCGGTTTGATCTCATTACAGCAACAGCGTACTGTGGTAGGAAGTTTGAAGAAAGATATGGAGTCCACGCTGGTAGATTGTTCACATCTAACGAAGATGGAAAGGAAATTTGATCATTTTGATGTAAAATGCATTTTGGGGATTTCAACTGAATCATGTGAAGATATGGCATAAATCACGTGAGCATAAGAAAGAAATCACGTGAGCATATGAAATGGGTCACGTGAACATGTGCAATTGATGAATTGATTACAAGTTATTACTCACCATCGTCTTCGTTTACAGAAGCTAAGAGAGGTGGCCCAGATTCAGGTTGAGGTTCTTCAATCTCCTCTTGCTCCTCTTCGGCTTCCTCGTCGTCAAAATCGTCTTCATTCTTTGTCACAGGATTGAACCAGATGCAACGACCCTATGAAGGAGACCTGGACCCTAGTACCCTCGTTAGCTATCAGTCGATGGTCATGGCTTGAGGTTACCACCACCGAGCGCTTACCTGAGGTAAGATATTCATACAGTGATGAACCCAGCTGTTCACCGTGGTATCCATCAATTCCCGAGGGTTGACTCCCTCGAATTCCGGATTGATCACGTACGTTTCGCGAACTAGGTTGGAGAAAAATATTTTTGTTCACACGCCTCAAATTTCTAGGCCCGAGCTAGGCCCCGAGCAGCTGTGGAATATTGAAGATGCATCAAATCAAAGATCACCTGCCAATCCAACAAATACAATTTTACCGAGGATCGGCCTACAGATACAGCTACACCGAGGTTGCTTTCCACAACTCCTGCACCAAGGATGCCCCCCGCTGCCCCACTCCTAGTCAAACAAGGTACAAACCTTCTTCTTCTTCCTCCTCTTCCTCGTCTTCAAATGCATAATAACCTGCAGGACTGATGTGAGTGCCAGCCGTGATTCGCGCGATCTGGGCACGAAGGAAGTTCGCCTCGTTACCAGGAAAAGGAGGGTAGCTCACGATCTGAAAATGAAAGATTGTCACGTCTCTAGGACTGGCATTACGACTGGATTAAGACTAGGATTAGGACTAGCATTAGGACAAGAATTAGGATTAATACTAGCATTTGGATTAGGACTAGCATTTGGATTAGGACGAGAATTAGGACTAACATTAGGATTAAGACTAGCATTAGGATTAGAATTGGGATTAGGACTGCTAAGTCTCACAAAGGTTGTGACATACCGGAGCATCAAGTCTACCAGTAAAGAATTTTTTAATCTGTCTTGCAGCTACAATCTCAGCAGGTGTGACATGAGGTAACTTCACCCAGGAACCATTGACTATTATTGAAAGAAAGACAAAACACTAACATTAAAATACATAGAAATTACAATGAAAATGATTAAGTTTCAAGAGGCTGAGATACCATAAATATCCATAGCAATCCTTATTAATACTACTCACAATTGGTGGATACATAATAAATATATTTATTTGTGCCAGATCTGTATTCTTCCTTTGGTATGACTGGTGGGGGAACCCAGTTTGGCTTGGGAACATCATCTTCATCCTCTTTCTCCTCATCTAAACAAAAGTCATTAAAATCTTGAATTGACGGACCCAGGCTGAGCTTGCTGCAACTTCAAGCCTTCAAGTACTTACCATCATCCTTGTCGTCCTCTTTCTCTTTGCCGGCTTCTTCTTCCTCTTTTTCCCGCTGGGGAACAAACAGAACAAGAATATAAATTAACTACCCAGTAACACCCCAGACAAATATTTCATTGTACAGGTCGACTGTGGAACTGAGAATTGATTGAGAGAGGTTGATAACAAAACTGGGATATACTTTAACTAATTGTCAACCACAACATTTGCACAAAAGACCTCTTCTATTCTTACCTCTTCTTCTTCCTCTTCTTCCAAACCTCCTTCACGATAATCCACTTCTGCAATGTAATAATTGTTCTCCAAACCAAACATCTTCCCTAGAAAAAATATGTTTTATCAATTTAATCATACTTGTATTAGCAAAATGCAGAAAATAAAGAAGGTATAAATGTAAATACATGTGGGAAAATAAACACTAAGAAACATAATAAATAAGAATAAAAGTGCTAAGCCAGGAAGTATCACGTACATTGTGGAGTGTCTGGTAAGATTCACATGTAGGCCGGTGTGTGACTTACCCCAAAATCTGACAGTTTGTAGTGGTTTAGAATCAACTAGTGTCTTGAGTGAAAGCCATATCTTAAACATTTCCTCCTGGGACAAACCTACGGCAGCTTGCTCAAAATAAAAGTTCAGATCCATCAAGTTTGGCAGCGCCGTCTCCATTTCCTCCTCGTTGTCCATCTCACCATCTCGATCAGCATCTCTCTGCAAATGGAAAATGTAGAATTGAAATCAAGGAAGTACTTTAGGCCAGGAAAGGAGTCTGCAGTTATGACAATATTAAACAAATGTTAAACCATGAATTGGAACCAGGCTATTTTAGCTAAATATACTGTGAGTAGCTGTATTATAAAAAAATATTATCAACAGCATACCTCAAAAAGTTTTTGAGTAAGGATAGCTGCAGATATTGTCTTGATGTCAGTCTCTTTTGCACCTTCCTGAATGTATAACAGCAGGACAAGTCAATATACACTCAGGTGTTAACTCAGGATTTCAGGTTTTAACATAAACTCATCCTAAAGTTGGTTTACCTGCACGTCACTACTGTCAGCTGGATCAGGAATTGGTGCTTTGCATTCTAAGCTAAGATCCTCGAACACACCTAAAATATCATGTACCATGATGTAATTGATTGTTGCCAAATGCCAGAAAATTTTACTGGCCAAGTGAAAAAATGTTCAGTGTTTTATTATCTATAAGTTATCAATTAACCCATAACACATCATACAAATACATTTGTCGTAGGGTGCTTTCCTTTATACGGTAAGAATGGCCAGACTAGTTCTATTGTATTTCAGTACAGACAGATTACTTGTGAGTCTTAGAGAGCTTCCAGAACTCTGCATTCATGTATACCATTACTTACTATGCCCAAACATGGAAAATGCTGTTTAACTGGCAACTGCTGTAATTCTTAATGAAATACTTAATTCAAGATATAATCAGTTTGACCATAATTTTAGCTGCTTTACACAAAAAGCGCCATAGGCTGTCCCCAAAACGTTTTCCTGAATATTTTCCTATTGCTGTTAGTATCTCGCAAGTGTAAAAATACGCAAGTGTATATTTCTACTACAACGCCTTTTAATACAAACCGATGGCATTCTCCGGCCGTTTATCCAACAGATTTGATAAAACTTTGGCAAAATGGTCAAAACTATAAAATAGAAAATACAAAGTCACCAGATCTGTCGGCAAAACAGAAATAGAAAGAGCATAGTAGAAAGAAACTGGACCAAGAATCTATGATAGCTAATATCATACAATGAAATTCAGTCAAAGAAAATGCCATTTTTGCGTCATGTTTCGCTTAGAAAACTTACACCGAGGTGTTAGACACTTCATCCTTTCTTTCTAAGTAATCTCTGGCGTCTCTTAGCTCGCCGGAGTTGAATAAATCTTCCTTATCTTCCCCCATATTTACAACACGTATTTCTAGACTTATACTACCTTTCCAAAGATTCTGTGACTTTAGCTTCGTTGCCATAGCAACTAATTGCGTGACTGGGCTAGGCGAGTGCGGGCTCGTAAAAAAAACTCGACCAAAACACGAACCTTTTCCATTTTGTTAGCATTTTTGACCAATCAGAAATCGTGAAATCCAGCCAATGGTAGCCGCTTTCACACGAAAAACCGACCAGTGATAATCCAGCGAGTAGGCTTCCACTTGGAAATAAACAGATTCGGGCACAGTGAACACTGAACAGTGTTTTAATCTTCGTTTTTGGTCTTTTTTGGTTTGGTTCGTATGCGGATTGCGGAATTTGAGGAATCTATGGAAAGTGGAATGCACAAAATGAATGATAAACGCATTAGAAAAATATGCGTGTAATGTGCAACACTTGCCTACCAATGTGTTTAGATGACAATTCTGTCAACTCATCGGCGATGCAGGGCTAGTAGTGAGGTGGTTCACTGACTGTAGAGTGTAGAGTCTGTGTGGACACCGTTGTGGCGTTGTCTTTATATCTTTCCCACTTGATCTTGGGTCAGTAACATCTACTGTTACAACCAGTAAGGACACTCAATATTTCCGGTAAATATCTTTGACTTCGTTACTGTTGGTATTCTAGAATAATTCGGCACGAAGCCAGGGAACCAGGGATTACGATCTTAACCAGCATCAACTACTCCGATTGATACAACAGGTAAGACAATATATAAATCTGTTTTTTTGTGAAAGCACTTGAAATATTGAGATATCATTTAAAAATATCTTTAGTGAACGTTTGAACCGCAATGTGGCGCAAGACGCTATGTCTACACTACTGTCACTGTTTATATTGTCTCTGCTCAGAACCGCCTGAATTGCGATAAAAAAACAAATTCTGCGCCCAGGAATAGTAAAAATAGACACAGGCATCCACCTATAGACACAACAGCATGCAGTGCGGTTGTGAGCTGAAAATATATGTATGATATGTATGCCGAAAGATGTCGGAAATTAAAGCCATAAAGGAGTTACTGGAGGTCATTTTTAGTCTTCATTTGTGCGCGACCAAGAATCTATCATTGTTAACAAAATTTGGTCGCGGGTACGGGGTACGTACTGTGTTTTCCCACTGAAGTGTGGATTTTTCGCTGGTAATTCCACTATACGCATTTTAAACTTTTGATTTCGCTTTCGTGTTTTAGCATACCCAACTTATTTCCACTCAAAAATACGGAAAAAAACAAAAAAATATGAATTTAGTTTGACCGCGCACGAAGGTGGACTGGAATAATTTCCGCCACTCCATATATATATAGGGAGAGAGCTCACTGGCAGCATGCCATGTAACGTAACTTAAGTGTTCCACATAAAGGCACACATATCATGTCTCCCCGGCTGAGTTTAACACATTACGTATGCAAAAAATAAAGGTAAAAAAATTGGTGTCAAATATCCCATCTCGCGAATCTCCGAGCAGTATAATAGACGAAGCGAGCACAAAAACCAGCAGTATTCTGTGATAGTATTTCGAAAGCTCGAAAGGTGATTTTGAGTGGAATCGTTACAATGATGAATAACAAAGTTGGTAGCGCGGTTGAAGGGGTCAAGTCTAGTTCAGGTTTGTGTCTGTGAGTACTGTGATTATCCCCACTTATAGTAAAATAAAGCAAATCGCCTTGCAACTTTGATACTACGCGTTTTGATAGGGGAAGTTGTAAAGGTTTTCGAGTACGATTTTCTACAGTATCATTGAGAGAGTGTATTTAATAAAATCTAGACATGCAGCGCGCGTGTATGCAAAATATACCATAGCTATAGATGCGAATTGCGGAGCTCTGCAACCTCAGATCACAGATGAACCGGCCCAACTTGCTCAACGCATCAGTGTCTGTGACAGTGTCATTATTATTTTTACAATTCAATTCACGTTTTCAGATAACCAGCCAGTTTAATGCTAGTTTTGACGCGAATGAAGTATTGCCCAATCTTTGGCCTTCACCGTTTGTTTGCTTCTCGCCCTGGCGAAAGCTAAAGAATCGCATGGCTTCGCTGCGCTGTTTTCCCACAAAAATCGCACAGGAAATAATGTTATTTTAGAAGGCGAATTCGAACACACTGTTCTTCCAATGCTCAGCAGTTACACGTATTTACTTATTTGACGGTACGGCGCTCGCACCGACCAAGAGTCTTATAGTCGCAAGGGCTATTAAAAAAAAGCTCTTGAGAAGTCAATAAATATAATGCAGGTATCATGTATGCTTTTACAAGTAATATAGCTCTATGTCAGCTGTTAGTTGGTAGTGCAAGTGACTGCGAATGGTCAGTGCGATTTTCTGTGGCTGCCTCCGGAGAGGGAAACTCATTGCAAGCAAATTTCACGAAGCTAAACCTATAAACACATCTTTCTACAGATGACACCACGTTATTTGTTTGCGGTTGCAAAAAAGCTTGTTGAACCGGTTTGTAGTACCGCAAACGTTGATGTTTAAAAAAAGTAATCAGAAACAACAGCTTAAACCCGAGTGACCTGATATAACTATTATCATATTGCAAAATATTTACTGCTGAGTTGATGAAAGGAAAAGCTAGAAATAATTATTCGGATTATACAATGTTACTAATGCATCCATATTTCGCTCGCCCGCACTGCGTCTCAGGTCTGAAGAATGATCCGGTGCTAAAGACAATTTTTATTGCCGAGTGATTTTTGCTCGGGGCAGGAGAATGCGAATAAATCACCACTTTTTAAAACAGCAAAGTTAAATTAGTAAAACAGCAAAGTTTGGCTGCAAAATGTTCTGAAATAGGGAAATTATAGCCTAAAAGATTTTGCGACTTTTTCCTTCTCAACTGGAGTTCACTGATTTCGTAGCATGCTATTTTTCTCGCAACAGCCGAGAGACCATCACTTCGTTTGCAATTTAAATTTGAAATACCTTGAACACTTGTACAAACAAGCTTACATACACCAGCAAACAAGCGCCTGAAGCCGACAGCATCGCCATGCTGCAATAAACCATTCGAGCAAAAACTCATTTTCAGCTTACATATTGCACAATTGAAAAGGAAGGGCTGAATTCATAAAGTATTGAAATAAAGGTATCGTATTTAAAAGCTATTTAAACTGGTCATATCATATTACGATCTCAGTTGTGCTGTATTATACAAGAGTTCAAATGTAAACATTAGCTGTTATTCAAAACAACATGCTTTTTTGCTTTTCATCGTTTTTTTATTTATCGCAAATCTTAAATCATCAACCTTGACCTTGTCGCTCGCATTTCGGGCTAACTGACTGACAAACGTTTCTACTTTCTAGTGTTTCTAATTATTTTCCTAAATTTCTAATTATATTCCCAACCGATTTTTTAAAATTATATTGATTTAGCGAATACTCGGAACCGATCACAAATGACTTTAGCCTAGGACGTACGGCAGCAGCTAGCTCCACTCCAAGATTGTTAAGTTATGATCTTCGAATAACTGCCGTGTAAAAATAAATAAATGAATAACCTGTATGTTTATATGAAATAACCGGTTTTGTAAAAAAATTTGCAATGGAAATTACGCCGTTTTAATAACAGTATACTGCCTACTTCAATTAACACATTAATCATTATGCTAGTGACCGCGTGAGGCAATATACCGAGACGGTATGGAATAAATATATCCTTGAAATATCAGTCGGTAAGTTTACATGCATGTAGCTAACATCGTACTAACTGCCCAGACTATAGGCATAGCTTGTTAGTAGTTCCGTGAATTTTGATAACAATCGTTAAGTTTGTATATAGAATAATTATAGAAATCACAATATAGGAGAAGTAATATATTTAATTTGTATACTAGTCATAGACTAGTATACTAGTTTAGCATTCTAGAAGTTGTATGAAATCCCCACGGGCTAAAATTCGTGAACACGGCATTCAAATTTTTACAATGAGTGATTTCAATATACTAGACTATAGTCTTTTTTGAGACACCCTGTATGATGTCTATTGCTGGTAAAATCAGTGACAACATAGAATATTTGTTGTGCCTTGTGGTGACATTTTCTTTCCTGCAAATTGCAATGCATGGCCATGGTAAAACCATTCTCAAGGCTTCAATATTCAAGTCTGCTCCAAGTTAATGTGTCTATGTCTGAAACTTTTAATCCAGGGATTACTTAATGCGTGCATATTCAATATAATTTAATGTTGATGTTAACCGCGTTGTTTGTTGATGTCTGATTGACATGCAGAGAATTTGCAGCGGAAACTTTCAAATGCACCCATTGTCAGATTTTGCATGTCCTAACACTGAACTCTGCCAAGGTTCATGAAAATTTTCCAAGAAAATCACAACCATTGTGTATTTGCAACAATGCGATTCATTTATGCATCATTCATGGCGGTTCGGCTTGGACATTCGCAAAAAAGTTTATTGCTACAGCTGTAGACTTCTTTGTTACAGTCTGTAGGAATTAGGAAAAATCGCTGCGGACCTGCGGTCATGCGCCAGCTTCGCTGAAATTCGTTCTCGTAACGCTGGAGAACGAAAACGTTTCTGAGCTGCCTATGATCAAATTCAAATCAATCAATAACGTTGAAATGCAATAAACGAGAGTTATCAGCTTTGCTAACGACGACCAAACCTCGCGAGGCAGTTAACTCAGCCCAAAAACCATCCACACACGTGAGGAACTTCAGTGTCCTTCGAGGCGAATCCTTACGAAAAACTATCCGCATACAACTTGCTGAGCTAACAGCTTCGATTCGCGAGGGCTTTAGCTCAGCTAATAGCTGTCCTGTGCGGTGGGCTTAAGGCGGTCAGGGGGTAAGGCAAAGCGGTTGAGGAAGAGGAACACGCAAAGATGGGATAAGAGAAGGAGATAGAGGGAGAATTAGGGATTTTAGGGAAGGAAGAAAAGCGCGAGAAGAAGGTAGGGAAGAGAAGAGCGCGAACCCGAAATCAAATGATCAGACGTTTTCATCCCCTTACCATGCACTAACTCCAAACACGATTCTCAATAGTCTTTTTCTTCCAGTTATGGGAAAGACAGTGGATGAGATTCTTGAGGTAATCGGCCAGATGGGTCGTTTTCAAATCTCAAGGCTGGCCATGTTTTGCTGTCTTGTGTTTGCACCGACATTTCATCTCCTCAACATGTTCTTCATCGGCGCCGAGGCACCATGGCAGTGCGTCAAGAACAGCACAGAGTGCAAACTAAACGGAACCTTTGCTGCTGGCGATGATGATTACAATTTTAGATGTAATATAAACAGAAGCGAGTGGGAATTCGCCGATTACGAAGGCCCTAAAGACTCCATTATTAGTCAGGTAAGTGGCAGAAAGACGGTGAAAGTTATTGTAATTCATCGTCTCTTCATTTTCACCCTCGTTTGACCATTTGCATAGTTTTTGACCTCAGTAAACATCGGATCTACAAATATTTGATTGGCCTGATTTCTACTAGAGACTGATCACGGATCATCCGTCTGGACGAACTTGGGCAAGCAAAAGATAGTTCGTCTTTTAGTTCGTCTGTGTGTAAACACGGGCAAACAGACGGATCATCCGTCAACATGAACTATTCTCATAGTTCATCTATTTACACAAATTTAAATAGTTGTATGGGTGAAGTTTAGGAGTACGCTTTTCAAGAAATCCCCGGGCATTTAGTCCACACACCAACCATCACAAGTGTCGCCCTAATGATCCTAAATCTAGCCTCCAGCCTGTTTCTTTTCTTCCCTTTAGTTTGACCTGGTTTGCGACGATGCTTTCAAAGGTTGGCTGGCGAAGTCCATGGTCTACATTGGTATGACGGTGGTGACGATACCTCTTGGAATGATATCAGATCGCTACGGGCGTTTGATAACCCTCTACCCGAGCCTCTTCGTCATAATCTTCGTCGGATTTGCGTCTGCCTTTGCCACCGAATATTGGCAATTCTTAGTTTCGAGATTCTTTGTTGGTTCTGTAATTTACGGCGCGTATTTTCCCATCTTTATTCTATCTGGAGAGTTCGTTGGACCCAAGTACAGACCGCTCTCCCAGACAGTAATGTGGTTTGCCTTCTCTGTAATTCTACTGCTTCTAGCATTGATGGCGTTCTTCGTCAGAACATGGAGAACTCTCATGATATTGTGTAATGCACCTTGGGTATTCGTCTTCATATTTTGGAAGTGAGTGGTAAATTCGTAATGGCTTTTTCCATGCATGCATGTATATGTGCCGGGGGGAAATGGTAGGAATGAAATAAGTACTAGTTATGTCAAATAAGAATCCATTTCTTGGTTGAAACAACTTCGAATATCTCAGTCTTAAAATATATCTAATTCCGGTTTCAAATTTATGCCAAAGCTATGGTTTTAACAACTAAATATGATCACAAAATTTCGACTAGTTTCGCGAAGAAGAAAAAAAGATATAATCGTTTAAATACTATAGAACGGATTTCTATTTCGACAACTCTTCTGAGCACTGAACACGTGAAAGGTCATTTAGTACAATGAAGTAATCCTAGGCTTGGACTAGAAAGGATTTACTGGGATTTTATAGCGCAAAAGCAACTTATGTTGATCTTTCTGATTTCGCTATTCCGACTGTATTTTAGATTCACACCGGAGTCAATCCGCTGGTACATGACCCACGAGAAGATTGAGAAAGCTGAAGGGGAACTCAGGGATATAGCGAGGGTGAATAGAAAAGAATATCCCCAGGAGATCCTTAAGATCCCACCCTCTTCAACTAAAAGCCTCAGCTGTATCGCTCTGTTTTCATCTTGGACATTAGCTATTAGTGCTCTCATTCAGGCCTTTACTTGGTGAGTGAGTCTTCATTTCAAGTGTCGACGTCTTTAAAGCACCGGTGAAAACAAGGCTTTCATCAAACAAGGCACTGACTTATTTTTTGTTTAAACGTGGTTCGGCTTTCAATTTAACCACCAATAAACAGGTCGTTGTGAAAAGCACTTAATTCGCCAACCCCGAGCCGATTACAAGCCCGTATTAGTTGACATAACCTTTAGCAGCTTCATCTTATAAATTTTGTGTATCATCCAGCACAATAAGTTTGTTTTATCTCATTTTTACTTCAGGTTTATCAATGGTATGGTATACTATGGTGCTTCGTATGGTGCAAGTGATCTTGGTGGTAGCATGTATCTGAATTATGCACTAACCAGTCTGATAGAAATACCAGCAAATTTTTTGGTAGTTGACAATTGTGAAAGGTTTGATGTGTTTAAGAATTTATGCTCCTCATGTATACATAAAATCGTCCTTTAAACAAGGAGTCTCTCTTTTTTCAAGAGGCTTGCATGCCTTTTGACATTATATATGCTTATATATATATATACTTATATACATTCTCAGGTTCGGACGTAAAAAAACAGTTATTTTTCATATGATCCTTGGAGGGATTGCGTGTTTTGTAGTTTCCTTGATTCCTGCTGGTGTTGATAGAACAGGTGATCTTGAATTGCATGTGGCGTCATAGATTCGAGTGGTGGTCAACTCCAAGATTCGAGACTCGGTGATACTTCACTACCAGATGTTCTGAAATGCTGGCAAAGCTATTTCTCGGTTGAAACAGCTTAATATTTCTTGAAAATACACTTTATTTCTGTTTCAAATTTATGTCGGAGCTATAGTTCTTTTCACTAAACATATTCACCAAAATTTGACTAGTTTCATATGGAATAACAAAAGATACAATCGATTAAATACTACAGAATGGATTATAACTTAGACAGCCCTGCTTACAAACATGTGCTATGATTTCGCTTAAAATTCTATATGGATATTTCCTGCATATTCCCAAGATATTCCCTGGGATATTTCCTGCATATTCTCTGAAACATTTGAGACGGACCACCATTCAAATCACGGATTGAAATTCTGGCATCTTTTTATGTTTGTTTAAAACTATCCCTTCACTTGTTTTAGATTTCATTGTTGGTCGTGTGATTGGTGGGATGTTAGGAAAAGGTTTCATTACTGTGTCTTTCAACTCGATTTACGTTTGGTCAGGCGAAATCTTTCCTACCGTTGCAAGGTAATTAAGAGGGAGCTTTAGCAGTGACTACGATTACGACTACGAGTACGAGATTCGTCATTCTCGTGCGTTGTTTGCTTACGCCATCAGCCAAAACTCGTAGTCGTTGGGCTTTTGAGTACGAGTTTTTTGGCAAATTTCGTACTCGAAAGCCCCACGACACAGAATACCTAACAGAAGTAGAACTTCTGTTTCCTTTTTTCGTAAGTGTGATTCGTAATGATTCGTCACTTAGCATGCAAGTGCATTTTTTTGAGGCAGTCACCCCCCTGCCAATACTAAATATGGGTTGATTTTAGACATTGGCAGGGGGTGACTACCTCAAAAAAATGCACTTGCTAAGTGACGAATCATGACGAATCACACTTACGAAAAAATAGTATAGAGTTCTACTTCTGTTAGGTATTCTGTGCCCACGACTACGAGTTTTGGCTGATGGCGTAAGCAAACAACGCACGAGAATGACGAATCTCGTACTCGTAGTCACTGCTAAAGCTCCCTAAGATCTCTCTTTCCACCGTCAGTAGGAGACAATATCGTGATATATTCTTTTCTCTGTGCATCTTCCAGAAATAGCGGCATGGCATTTGTTGGTGTCATGAGCCGTATTGGTGCTGTGAGCGCACCATTTGTTGTTGAATTGAAAAGAATCCATCCAACTTTACCGTTTGGACTGATGGGTGGTTTGGCTGTCATCGCTGCCCTGGGGTGTCTGATTTTACCAGAAACACGTGGACGACCAACCGCAGAAGTTTACGACACCAACAACGGTAAATTTCGTGGTAGTTTTTCAGTCATGTTTGAGCTCGTTATGACACTTGAAAAGCATCGTTTTCGGCGACAAAATTGAGAGCTTCAGTAAGGAAATTTGCACACTTGCTCGAGTGTTCTGGTCTTGTGGTTCTGTGTCCACGCCGTGGCGGCAAAAAAACTAACTGAAATTTAGCGTTATGCAAATTCTCAACATTCAAAATGCTTACATGAAACAGCATTGCATTTACACCCGCGGTTGAAACAAATTGTTTAAACGAATCACCTCGAATTAATTCGCATGCGGCGTCGAAACCTTAAAAACTTGTGTTTCCTATTCTCAAAGTTCGTTCTTTTTCTCAATTTCAGACGCAGCCGAGGAGTTTATTTTGCAGAGAAATGGGCGAAATGATGACGAGGAATCTCCTACGGAAGACGCTGGCAAAGGCACGGAAGCTTGAGTTGAGAACATGCACAAATTAACAGTTGCAGCAATCAACTGGCTGCAAAGTTATCGATTAAACAAACTTAATTCTTAGAAATTCAAAACCTTATTTATATCATTTTCTTTCCTGCTCTTCAACATGCAGACCTTATATCACGACAAACGGCTCGTCAGTAGCCATTTAGGCTACTACTGTATGTTCACACGAGCGTCGTTTTCGAGCGCTTTCAGAATCGTTTTTGTCTGTCTTATTGTTTTTATGCCCTGTCCACATGATCCAAGGAAAAATTTGCCTAATTTGTTAAATTAGCTTCAACTTCTATTGTAAAAGTTGACGGTATTTGAAACCGTTTTGGGATGAAAACGAATGTGAAAACGCTCGAAAGCGTTACCGTGTGCATATATATAGCTTTAGGTTCATTGAAATGACAACATTAAGTAACAGGTTTCTCGCAATTTGACATCGCGGTCACAACAGTCCAGATCACAACTTCGGTCACAAGTTCCTTTTCAAACTTTCAGAGTCAACCAAGCAAGTTACCTTGGCGAGGCTCGCCAAACGCAATTCACCTGTTCTTTGCATGCAATAACAAATTTAATTACGTGATGCTAAAAGCCAATTTAAAATAGATTATCCTTTACGGCGTATATTTGAAAGCTGATAACGTGGTCGATTATTTAACAGTAAAAAATTCCCAATCGCGTATAGTTTAATGATACCGCAATGACCTTCTGACATCGAGGAAGGTCGAAAGTGAAACACTGAAGTATCGACCGTATCTATACAGTCATATACCAACCAGTAAACAAAAATTGAATTTCACCTTTTGTTTGCCCGTTCTATAAACCTCAAAGATTACAACACAAAGCTTGCTTCTGCATTGTCTTGAAACGTTTTAATTACACACGTCTCTCGTTTCCCACACGAGTTGCAGTTGTTTTTCAAAATCATCAACATACCAATATACGTAATTACATAAATACAGCTTAATGCCGCCATTACAAACATGCTAATGACAGTCATGTAGGTTGAGATCAGCACGCTTTTTTCTCTCAATGAGTTCCTGTTTTTCTTTTGTCAAGTAGAGCTATGGCAACAGTAAATGAGTGATAGAAAGCAAAGCTTTACGAGAGTCTCATTAACTCTTATGTCCTGGTCAAACGAGAATGACAGTTGATCAGAGTTAGCAAGCGAGAGTTTGTATGAGAGTTTCATCAGGTCGTGGGCGACCCCTTCCTATCCTTAACGACCCCCTCCTATCCTTAACGACCCTCGCCTATACTACGAATGTATTGACACCATCCCAAAAGTGGATAACGTTACCATGGCACTTAAACCACTCAGTGTCAATTATCCCTTGTTAACTCTGGAATTCAAGTTATGATGAGGGAAAGAAGGTTAACGAGAACCTGACCTTTTTGAGTGCGCACGACTCCTATACGAGTTACCTCGAGGCCACGAATCGATCATGTATTTTCAGCAGAGGATTACTTGGAAACGGTTGATTTTTTTACCTTTCAGACGATTGAAAAACGAAGAGCAATATTCAGACAGGAAAGATTATGTGATTTGCGTCAGTACCGCTGATTTGCGGTTGAAATATGGGACAAAATGAAAAGGAAGCGTCTGAATGTCATTTGTTTTTATTCCTTCCACGCAGATAATTAGTGGATATCGTAAACAGAATTAACAAAACCAACCTAATTTAATGCTTGTCATCGACAAATGAACGCTATTGTTGCTGAAAATTCAATAAATTCTTTACTACCACTGCATCTCTTTAACGTAAAAAAAACCGGAACCCTTCAGAACAATAATTAATTCATTAATTCCATGTTTTAACGCTTTCTAATCAATGTTAAAGTAAAAAAATTCATTTAAACCTTGCTTTTTTTAAAGAAGCTTATCCCGTAAACACATTGTGCAAATTACTGTCTAAAACTCTATTAGTGAATCAGCTTCGTCTTATCGCATTACAAAGCATTAAAGAGATCTAGTTTCAATGAAAACGCAATACACGATTTCTATTTAAGAATAAAACGTTTTTACGTAAACTTTATAGGAAGAGCAGTTTAGAACTGATAGAGCTATCCAGTATGAAGTCAGAGATTTAGGAGGAACAGTTTAGAACTGATAGAGCTATCCAGTATAAATAAAGTTAGTTTAGTTTAGGTTTCAGTCCTGTAGAAACACTTGATCAATGACAATAAGAGATGATCCTTACTGGACCTCTAGGAAGAATAGTTTAGAACTGATAGAGCAACCAGTATGAAATAAAGTTAGTTTAGTTTAGGTTTCCTCCTGTAGCAACACTGGATCAATAAGAGATGATCCTTACTGGACCTCTAGTCTAGAAAGAACAGTTTAGAACTGATAGAGCTACCCATGCAGTATAAATAAAGTTAGTTTAGTTTAGGTTTCCTCCTGTAGTATGTATGTAGTAACACTGGATCAATAAGAGATTATCTTTACTGGACCTCTAATTACAGAGCTGATGAGTAGAGTTATCGGGTACAAATATAAATTATTATTTAATTCTTATAGTTCATAGTTGATTCCTCCAGTAGAATATAGCGGATTACGAAATGGGGCTACGTGCAGTCTGTTCAAGGACTAATCCCTGTATTGTGTTTAATTGGAATCTTCACACCTGCAAACATGATGTAGCATACCATAAAAAAATAATTGAAGTGACTTTCGTGTGAAGCAATCAAAGAATATTAGTTTTCAACTATGCAACGAATGCAAGACAGCCAGCGTATTCGCTGACTCAAAGCATTATCATCGAAACGGGATACTTTGTGATAATTAAGGTGTTATTGACCACGAAAACAGCCCGCAAATGACGTTCGACCTTGGACCATGGCGACTCGTAGCACGAAATCAAATTTCGCTGCTATTTCTGCAAAAACGCATCAAGAAGCACTTGAAGTTCACTCGAAATAGGTCCAAGTTTGATTATATTAGGCAAGCATTCTGTTGGAGTTTCCTTAAGTACATTATTCCTCCGGAAACCGGCGATGCAATTTTCATGCCTGTATTTGATCGTGTTCAGAAGGCATTGTTCGTCATTTTAAGTGCTGCATCATTAGCAAAATACAGCCTGGCACATGCTATAGAAAAAGACCGGACTCATGCACGATTCACGGAATATAGAACGTAGGTAAACATGTTGTTGACTTGGACCTTGTACGAAGCAGTTTTACAGGTCGGTTCTGATCGCCATTTCAACTTGCCTCACTTTGACTTGCCTCAAATTTGCACGAAGCCGTTGAATGTGTGGCTACAGGCCTATGTGAAAGTGAATCAAATTACCAAGTGATACTGTTATGTGACACTTTAGCTAGAGCTTGAAAAACCTTTGAAGCACGATCCCATCCATTCTAAATCGTGTCAGATCACGGGCATTCCATCTGCAGAATTACAACGCGCACACCTTGCGAATGACATTGTTCACTAAATCTCGTCAGCGGCTGAAATAGTCTGCAGTTACCGTCAGAGCCGAGTAAAAATTGCATGAAAAGAACTCATTTATAGTCAGGAATTACGACTCATCTTTGGAAGTTAAGTCATAATATCTTATAGATAGTTACACTTTAATGCGCACTGAAAAGTCGTCCGTGAAAAACTCGGAATAAACTGAAGAACTTATCAGTTACCTGGCAACGCCCGGATTCCTATGCTGAATGAATCCATTCCAAACTTCCAAACTCCAGTTTGTCAATCCTGATCTTAAGAGAACGCATTCGGATCAAGGACGCTATATATAAACACTGATAATCCATACTCATGACATTAGCCTAGAGGCCGCACGACTAAACAGTACTTGGCTCTTTTAGTGAGAAGAGTTGGCCAGCGTCAGTTATGCAATCGTTACCACAAGTTCAGCAGAGCATCACAGCTTTGATTTCGCTCAAATGCGTCCTTGCTACATTGGGCTTGGTCGTAGAGTTCATCGTATGCCGTTTCTTTCATGCTGTTCCGCTATTTCACGCGATTGTCGAAAAGCAGATCACGCAGAAAGCACAGTTGAAGATGGTGAAAGAACATTATTGGGATTCCTTATTCGGATGGCAAATGTTCAAAGAATGTTGGAATATGAAGGTCATGGATTTACGGAAGCAGGTTAGCGAAGGAACGGAGGTCGTGGATTCGCCTCTTATCAGCGCGGATGGAACGAAATGTGTACGCCTTTCAGAGCTTGCCCGAATTGGACGGCCTTTGGTCCTGAACTTTGGCAGCTCAAGCTGACCTCCATTCATGGCGAAATTGGCCAGGTTCAATGAGATCGTACGAGACTTCAACGATCTGGCTGATTTTGCGATTATCTACATATCTGAAGCTCATGCCATGGACGGCTGGGCTTTTAAGGTAAGCCTCCTGGAAGAGATTTCCATTTTTCATAACGATATTTTGTTATTGAATGATTTTCGATTGATGAAACTCGTCTTGTTTTCGCACATCACGGAAAAAGCTTGCCCAGAATTAAGTTATATTAGCTTGAAATTAAATTAAAGGTTCCATCTACTTGTAAAAGGATATGAAGCCTGTCAAAATTAATACCACGCTCTCAAAAACGCGGAAAAGAGAAAGGGAAATTCGCGTTGACGATGGATTCGATTAGGAAATTGTAAACGATGTAATGAAATATGAATCATTTGCTAAAGGATTTGGTGGAAAAATGTCGTTAGGTTTATAATTGTTTGTGTTAGCAACGCAATTTCCTGGTTCAAGTGTCGTAATCCTTTTTTAAAAGCAGCCAGTCCAAAAGAATTGGTGAATTTCATACTACTGGTGGGAATAAAGAACGTAACCGCTTTCTCAAATTTTCACTTCATTGAATTAAAATCGGTTCCGGCCTTTTCCATCATTGAAAATTAGGACGTGTTGACGGCCGTTGCTAAATATTGACGTGCATGTATGTTCAGATTCACCACGTTTGAGATATCTTTCTCAGGGTAGTTCAGACATAAACCACAACAGATTATTGTAAAATACAGAATACTACCTCGAGTCAGTTCAAACACAAACCCCGACAGCTTATTGTAGAATACTACCTACGCTATACCACCACTTCTAAGATATCTTTCTCAGGATGTTTTTCTTTTTAAGTCCAGACTGCAGAGACAAACCACGACAGCTTATTGTAGAATACTACCTACACTAGACCACCACGTTTGAGATATCTTTCTCAGGTATTTCAGATACAAACCACGACAGCTTATTGTAGAATACTACCTACGCTATACCACCACTTCTAAGATGGCTCTCTCAGGATGTCTTTCTTTTTAAGTCCAGACTCCAGAGACAAACCACGACAGCTTATTGTAGAATACTACCTACACTAGACCACCACGTTTGAGATATCTTTCTCAGGTATTTCAGACACAAACCACGATAGCTTATTGTAGAATACTACCTACACTAGACCACCATGTTTGAGATATCTTTCTCAGATAGTTCAGACACAAACCACGACAGTTTATTGTAGAATACCACCAACTACACTGCACTAAATTGCTCACGATTTTTACAATTTCTTTCTAGAACAACTACGAGATTCGTCAGCATCAAAACCTGGACGAAAGACTTGAAGCAGCGAAGCATGTCTTGGCCAGAAACCCTCCCTGTCCTGTGTTTGTGGACTCGATGGCAAACACTATGAAGACGGCCTACGCTGCTCTTCCAGAAAGATTGTATGCGATCGAGGAAGACAGGATCGCATACGTCGGAGACCTGGGACCCGATGGTTACAACCTGCAAGAACTACGGCGATGGTTGACGGAGTACAGAAATAACTCAAGGCGCAGAACGTGGACGAGATAACGGAAAGAAAATGGACGTATCGAAGTTTGGATTAAATATGAATGCAATTGTAAATACTTGGACAGGCAATTCCCAGAAAACTGCCCGTATTTGTGGTATATCTACTACAAATGCATATTCTTATATAATAACCAAAGTTGTAAATAATAATAACATATATTCTTCAAACGAATAGGCAGTATATACAATATATAGCCTATTCATTCGTTTGACATTTAAACAGTGAACTCAAATGGATCGATACTTTGCCGCCATCTTTGAATAAGCTGAATTGACCGACAGTTGAGTTTGCAAAAAGAAATTATAAGTTGTTTAGGGGTACCTAGCTTGCTAAAAACAGCTAGAATTAGACGAGATGTATTATATTTTTGGATTACTTTTTATATATGACCTAAAGATTGAGTTGTTCGCTGCCGCTGGTATCCTAGTATTGCACAACCATGGCTTCATGCAATAATATCGTTTCATGCAATAATATCGTTTTAATGATAAGTAATCGATCCTGTTATTATTGAGTTCACTGCATGCAAGCAGTACGCAGCAATTTCATACGTATACTAAGGCTTTCCTCTTTTGTGGGTGAGCCCTAGTAGTAATTACAAATAATAGATCACCATATTGTATTGATGTTATTATTCATGGAACATACGTATGATTGTCCAGATAGAAACGCCAGTCAGTGCGGGTTCTGGACATGATGTTTTTGTGTGATTCTGAAAAATATTAAAATATACTACAGTGATTTATCAATATATGTTTGCGTGTCGTTATTTTAGAGTGTATTGTAGCTAGGTCAAAGCAGTAAGCAAGACAAAGACAAAATTGTCTGTGATTCCTTCTGTGGTAGCTTTGAAGAGATCCGTCTCAAAGAAAGAGCTAAAAGTTGTAAGGATTATTTCACTTATTTCGAATGGACAAGAAAGAGTTCAGACTTCACATTTTATTCTGACGGTTTAAAGAATCAATGCTTGATAGTTCGTAGAAATATAACCATGATATCAAAAGTTATGTTAGATACACCTCAAACAAAACTGTTTACTAACGCATTAGATAAGAATGTAAGGTATATTTGTAAACTGCAATGCAAGTGGGCACTGCACCTAACTAGATGTCACACTTTGTAAACGAGTTTCCAAATACAAAACTAACAAAAGAATACTTCGGTTTCATCTGGCAAAAATCAAACCACAAAAAAAGCTCTGCACGAATCTGATAAACGTCCGGTGACATAGAAAATTTTAAATGAACCATCCACTTTCGGCAGAGATATTTTTACATTCTACATTCTACAAATATTCCTTGTCCAATATTTGACGTCAGTTCTGGTTGCTGGCACATCAAGAAAGCCGAATCTTATAAAAAACTATTTATCTGTGTCATGCGCTAAGTGATGCGCTAAGTACATGGTGTTGTGGCTATATTTGCATATGACGCGTCACGCCACATCTGGAATTATACACCTTATTATCATTATCATTCAATACGTCACAGCGCGCCTGAGGTTCTGTCGCAATATGAAACGCTTTCAAAATATTTTCCAACACGCAACTTTGCTTGGGAAAAGCGAGACCATTTTATAGCAGATTAAGGCAATAATTTCATTGATTGGCTAGCGAAAAAATCTTGCAAATAGTCGACCTGGCCGGATTTGTTCCACGTTGCGCGCGAGCATTTGTTCGATCCTCGTGTTTAGTAAATTCTAAAGAAATGTCAATTGTCACAATTACCTAATTATCACCTTAAAAATTATCGTTGACGGGAGGATTTTGTACTTAAAATGTGACAAGAAGCGCAATGGATTATTAATGAACTCTGAAGATACTCATAAACCATCCAGAAAGAAAAAAATTAACCCTAATGAGACGATTAGAATAAGTGTAGAATTTCAACTCTCCCACGGGCTCCATGCAATCAAATCGATATTGAATTCAATAAATAAAAGAATATAAACGTTCATGAGCATTTTTTCATCTTAATTCATACTTCGCTATCTGTTACAGATCTCTATAAATTAATATTATGTGAAGTTTGCAAATATAGAAAGAAAATAGACTTTTTAACATCATGAATCAACAGCAACAATGTTCACATCGATACACGAAGGGTACAATGTTATGCAAAAATTATCTATTATGATATATGGTATCTGGCAAGCAATTAAGATGTTTGTTAGTTGAAGCTTCCGCACCCGTGATAAGAAGAGAGAATCTTTAGTGGAATGAGAAGACATTGCTATATGGTATTGAACTTGTTTTATATGAACAGCGTTCTAGCGTCAAGCAGAGACAGAAGTATTTGTCGTTTTATCTGAACTGGCTATAATCTATATCACAAAGACGCGCAGATATTGTCGCCCGAAGCGCGCAATGTTTACGAGTGCCGATGTTAAGTGATGTGAATATTGTGTCGAGAGACGTACGTTATTCACGCTTCCCTACATTTAGCGCAACGACAGTTACGACGCCATTCACATGCACCAACACATGACTGAATATAGTTAATCCAAAAGCAAATAACTCCGTTATTAACCATGCAGTTAATGATCTATTGCCTTCAAATAGATAAATGAATGATCAGTTTTCACAATAAATGCAGCCTTGTAGCGTTGTTTATCCTATATAATTTGTTAACGACCAGTAAACTTGAAAAAACCTTGTAAGACTGACATTACCTTAGTCATTATTACCTATCAGTATTCTGGCTATAAACGTTTACGTTGCTTTCAAAACAGTACTAGGAGTTACTGGGCAATTGGACATAAGATAACTAAGAAAAACGTCAACTGTTCTGTTTAACTTATCTCAGTTATTTTTGCAGGCCTCTGAATGTCTTTTAGAAGCAGTCGTATAACTGGGCAAATATATTTGACTATATATGAGTTATTTATCATAAAATGGGAAGACAACAACGAACTTGCAGTGAAAATATCTCGTCTCTATAGAGATGTGAAAACATTTTTACAGTGTAAAAACTTTATATCAAATAATCGCGTGATTTCTTCTGTACGTTCTTCCGTGTCCGTGACCCCAAATATTTGCGACATTCTATTCCCTTTGTTGCAGGTCACGGCATCACGCGATGTAATGAACTTGGACCAAAAAAATTGCGAAATTCAAAAAGCATTGTAGAGGGCAACACAGATAAAGCCGGTTGGCATAACCCAGAGCTTGCACGACAAGATGCAACTACGCTCTTTACTGATAACATTGAGTGTGCTCAAATCTATGATTAAAATCTATACGTAACAACCTATTTAATAAATTATCGTATTTTTAGCCCATTTCCCTAATTTTCACGAGAGGTGATTTTCACTGAGTACAGTTATCTGCTATATAACATAGCGTGGTTATATATAAAGACATCATCATCAAAATCGTCATCATTTTTTTTGTCCTAACATAGTTATTGAATGCAACAGGAGAGGGTCAATCAACATTTAACGAGGTAACCATCCATTTACGCTCGTTAAAACTTAAACCTCTTCAACAGATATCAAGGTATAAACTGATTCCTTTCAAATCACAAGAGTTATAAATTACTGAATGGCTAGAAAGGTGCGAGACTGCTTCACGTCACGTTCACAGAATCGGTATATACGTATATACGAAATAAAACTGATCCTATCCAAAGTTGATACAAGTGTTCATGACATGCAACCTAAGTTGTATTCATCAAGTCAGCAAGCATCTCACTATTCTTGGTTTATAGTTCTCACAAGTCCCAGCAGCTTCAAACTGTTAAACTCTTTAGTGCTTTGATGAAAAACAAACAGAGGTCGCAAGAGAAAACCTTACACGCATTTTTTTATTTCGTGTCGCAGTGATTGAGCAAAACCTCGTAAGCGGATATCGAGGCTACATGATTCAAAGTGGGTCTTGACTTGAGACATCAGTCTTTGACTTTGATTTCTGTCCTTCAATGTGTTATATTTTAACCGAGAAACATGGGAAAACATATCAACTTGTATTTTTTGCAAAACAAAGCCCTTTCATTGTGCTCTTTCTTGCAAAAGCATTCGCATGCATATCGTAATTCACTTGCGTAACTCCGTCTCGAGAACTGCAAACGTTTGACGCAGTTGCCAATTGACTGTCACGCGATCAGCGTTTAAACTGGGCATTTATTCTCACTATTTTTATGCACACTGAAGTTCAACTGGTTGGTTTCACATTTATATAAATACATATAATCTACATGTATAATTTCATTGCATAGAAGCAGCCCAATGCACAGAAGACGTGAGATGAGTAAATGCACGTTTATCATTATTTTAGGCGTTTCCTTCCCTGGTTTATAATTTCATAAAATTATCGTTCCACACCCGTGCCAAGGTTACACCGTTGAATATCATTATTACCTAACCTTGTGACAAAATGCTTTGTCGAATTGTGGAATTATATATTTGCACTGATCGTTTTCGTAATTATGCTATCAAGTCAAAGTGCTTGGCTTTTGTGTTTAATTGCGTGTTCCTCCAATAAGAGCTTAGTCTGTATCTTGCTCTGAGCAGTAAAAAAAGAGCTTTGTTTTTCCAAATCCGTCCTGTACGTCAAACATTGATTGATTTGGTTTGACCAGGACGTTGAACACAGATCACTTCTTGATTTCATGCAGTATTTATGACGGATTTGTGAGACTCTTATAATTTCAAATTCCTTTCACCAAAAATAGGCGAGGTTCAGTTAGGTCTTTGGGAAAATGCACCTTGAGCCTCAAGGGTTCTCGTTGCGTATTTTCGACTCACTCATAACTCGTAAAGGCGATGATTGCCAACAATTATATAACTATTAGTATTTCAAGTGGCTCAACTAAGTTTAACTAACCTTCTTTAACCTTATATAGATAACCCAGGAATATACATGCAGGAAAAAGACTAGGACAGCGCATGTTGCTTTTAAACCAAATCTCGCGTTGTAATGTGTCCATATACTGGTTGGATTTTTTAGAGTCAAATCTGCTTCTTTCTTGAACGTATATACTCTAATGTAAAAGAACTCCAGGTTTGCGCATTCCAAGAAAATACCCCTAAAGGACCAGGTCGTGTTTGTTGAAGCTTAATCCGAAGCTCAGACTGTCTCAGTTGGAATGGTAATACTGTGGCGGCCTGTGATAATCGCAGGACTTCACCGAGACATCTGGCGCGTTAGAATAAAGCCCAGATTGCATCATTTCAGACGTGATAAAGAGACTTTCCAGAACAGTGCGTAACCGACAGTTTACTCGGAAAAGCTTGTTACCTATTGTGCTCTACGCATGTTGAGAATTTTGGTTTCGAACAGGTTGACGTTCTCCAACTTCTCCTGTTTTCTATTCGTCTTCGCCACGTTTTACAAAATCAAATTTTCAAATTGGCAAAGTCTATTTAAGGTTTCAGGTTTTAGAAAGTGATCCTGCACAGAATCATCTGTATTTATAGACTCATTACATCCATATGCACGTATTGCATGTATTACACGACGTACGAATGTATATCACATTGTCTCGTGATGTGATTTTTTTTTACCGATGGGCACGGGTTCGCGAACCGCGAGACGAGTCCTGCTGTGCGGTTGAAACTGACCTGGCAGCCCACGCAAACATCGTTCAGATAAAAGTCCGCGCACTGAGCAATATTGCTTCAGTTGACTCCAGGATCTCTGCAGGCAGCGTTGCAGCAGAGATGTCGCCATTTCGTGCGTTTGCCAGCGCTTGCGTTGAATGGTTCCTTCTTGGAACCAGTTTCACAGCGCTGGGGCTTTTCTTCATCATCAGTAACCTTGTGAAACAATTGCCATACACGCGAAACTTTTTATCTTGGTTTTTCGTGACATCAACGAGGGTGTTCTTGCCTTACGATATGTTCTACAGAACGCTTTATGGAGTGGAAATGACCAAAGTACTGTGGAGAATGTGTTACCTCAACATCAGGGCGAACCTCAGAGAAGGTGAATCGTTCCCTGATGCGCGTCTCATAGATACGAAAAATCTTCAAAGGTCAGTGGTAAATTTTTACTACGGACAGAATCAGCAGAAAATTAAACACATAACGACCTGATGTCAAAAAAGAAATCTTCGTTAAACTACATGTATCCTGCATGTATTCCTACCCGACTGCAGAAAGGTCTGAAGTAGCTACCTAGGCATGATTTCCCTATGAAAGTGTAATGATTAAAGTTGGAGTTTTTGCGTATGTGAGGTACCTTTGTAATATTCAATAAAAGAATGACGAAAGCTAGAGGTAGTTTCAGGGAAATTTAGTTGATAGAAATGTTTGATCATTCCTGTGCCAAACAGCTAGGTTTTCTACAGTCGCTACAATGAGTAACGTTAGAACGTATAATTCAATATTTACAAGTATTTTTCATTTCAACACGGCTTGTGCACAAAATCCAGTATTTAGCGGTAATGATTTTCTTTAAGTATCATATAAGTTACGATATATTAGTTCTTCCGTGATGTTTTTTTAACTGCATGCACGAGTTCTCCAAAGCGGTGAATAAAATCTGCTCTTTCTAAATCTGATCTTAATTTCAATCCACATTCAGTACAAATTCATGTGAAATCGTGCGATGTTGGTATACCAAGATCTTATGTAGATTGTCCGAACGATTTTAAGCCAAGATTTCATTACATTCCTCGCATTTTGCGAATGACTGGATCCTATTTATTTATCATGCGCTGAACTCTGTATTTGCAAGCATAATTATATAGTCGCCATGCACCGGCTGAAATGATTTTGCCTGATCATTCAATGAATCGATCCAAATGGGCTTTGAGCAACCGCCTTCAGGTAGATAACTAGCTCAAAAGCTAACTGTTTAACAAGTTTTTGATAACATCTTTGTGCTACGCAGGTTTGAAATAACATGCGACTGACACAACCTTGAAAACTACACACCCAATATGCCTGCAAATAATGCCGAAATCTATCCTCACAAGACACCAGCGCTAGTCCGCGGCGAAACAATTCAACCTAGATGATAATACTGCGATATGGTGGCTGTTTCATTGAACGATATTACGGTCATTCCGTCATCTTGTGAACTAAAATACACTTGAGATCTTCAGTCAAACTAACCAAGGTTTTCTTCATAATTTCTCTTAGAGTAAACCTTCGTGAACTGGTTCAACATGACCGGCCTTTCGTTTTGAATTTCGGAAGTTCCAGCTGACCACCGTTCAAGGCGGAATTGCAAGCGTTTTTGAAACTTGCCCAAAGGTTCTCAAGCGTTGCGGATTTCGCCATCATCTATATCGAAGAAGCCCATGCCGCAGATGAGTGGGCATTTGAGGTAATGAATCGTAGTCTTATGTTTAGATACGGCGTAACAAATAATATTTCATTATTTGATAGTGATTAATCTGGATAATTTTGATATTGCGTGATGTTTGCTTGTTTCGACTGGATGAAGTTTATTGTGCGATGAACAAAGCAAAGTTGATGAATGATTCCTTCCGTTTTGATTCAAATTTGCCCAATTTGAGGTCAGGTCTTGGCAATGAATATGGAGTAGGGTTGATGGGGAGTGGTTGGTGAGGTCGAAGGAGGTGGTGAGAGAGAGGCCGTGGATGCTGGGAAGTGTATAGGTGGGGAGAAGTACAGAGGAGGAATGTATTAGGTAGAGGAGTGTGGGGTAGAAATGCAGGAACTTTTGAGGTTCAGGTGGAGGAAGGAGTGTGAGGTAGGTGGGGGGGGGGAAGTGTGAGGTAGAGGAAGGAGTGTGAGGTAGGTGGGGGGAGTGTGAGGTAGAGGAAGGAGTGTGAGGTAGGTGGGGGGAGTGTGAGGTAGAGGAAGGAGTGTGAGGTAAGTGGGGGGGAGTGTGAGGTAGAGGAAGGAGTGTGAGGTAGGTGGGGGGGAGTGTGAGGTAGGTGGGGGGGAGTGTAAGGTAGAGGAAGGAGTGTGAGGTAGAGGTGGAGCATGTAGTGTAAGGTAGGTGGGTAGGGAAAGTGTAAGGTAGAGGTGGAGGAAGGAGTGTAAGGTGTAAGGTAGAAATGGGGGATATGTGTGAGGAAAAGGTGGAGGAAGAAGCGCAAGGTAGATGTGGAGGAAGAAGTGTATGAGGTAGAGAGGTAAACAGTCTGATCTCCACTCTTGTTTACGCTTTCTAAGACGGAATATCACGATTTCTTCACAGAAAAATATCAACATCAACCAACATCGTACAATAGAAGAACGTCTTTCTGCAGCTGAGATACTCAAAAAAGACCAAGATTTGGCTGATGTGAGATTACTTGTGGACTCAATGGACAACAATGCCAATGAAAAATACGCCGCTCTGCCCGAAAGACTTTTCATTCTTCACGAAGGAAAAATATCCTTCCTCGGAGGCGTTGGACCAACGCACTATTGCTTAGAAAGCCTGCGACAACGGCTGGCCAGGTTCGAAAGAGATGCGAAGCATTCAGCGATTAAAATGTTCAAACATTCACAGAAAAATCAAACCACTTTACCCACAAGAGGAGATTAGATTCACAACACACAAGGACGAAAACAACAAACTTTAGGGTTGAACTATAGGCTCATGCATGTAAACAGTATAGATAATTTCATTGTTTTTAAAACGCCCGCAATAACATAGTAGAATACGAAATACATGGTAGATTCGTGTAATATAGAGGTTTAAAAATGTATATGCTAAAATTTGGTTAAAATTCGGCTTATCTAAGTCACAATTACTGGACGCGTTTCCCCAAACACGCGACAATTATGTATATACTTAAATAAAATATTCATTGACATTGCACTGGCAATAGATATCTCATGAATTGATACTTTGATATCATATGAAATATGTATTGCATGTTTGCTTATGTACTAAAATATTCATATAGCTATATGTTAATAATATCTGTAAATATTTAAGCGAAGCTATGGCTGGATATATTTATGACGGATTTCAAGTAAATCATCCTGAATTATGATCTTGAAATCCTGATGACCGGTTGATGCCAATATATATAACAGTGCTTTTGCCCCTTGAAGGAACAGACGAAGTCATTCTGTAAAATATATTATGCTGTAGATGTCAAAATAAATACATATTTTAAAACACTAGAGTGTTAAAATTGTTGTTTTCAGCTGGTTCGTTGTTGCTTTGTTAAGAAACACTGTAAAATTTTCGTCGAAAATGACACTTTGAATACAAGAGTACTTGCAATTCTCGACTTCAATTCGCGCGACAAAGTTTGGTAAATAAACTAAACCAGGCTTCCACTTCTTAAATAAAGCACGCCCCATGCAGAGCTAAAGTTTAAAATCTTATCAAACTTATAATTCCTTCCTGTGTGAATATCAAACGTATAAACGGCCGACAATTTTCAAAAATAAAATGGATTAACCTGTATTTGTGGAGATTTCCTTGCGCGCGCTTGGAAAATGTATAATGCCTGATATAATGTAATTATATAATGGTCCTTTCCCAGCGGGTATCAATCGTTGAGTTGTGTGCCGTACTATTTTTAAACCCTTTTTAATGAGGAGCGGAAATTTGCTCAAAAAGAGTCGTGTTAAAGTGAGATTAAACTAGCTTTAATATAACATATAATTATACGATGTGTGTGACAAATGAAAAATTGTTATATGATGTCGTGAAATTGAGTTTTTGATCCACACTTCTGCTTCAAAACTTATTAGCAGCTGAGAGGAATCGGGGAAATGCAGTTGAATGTCTTTGAAAACATATGTTGCCATTATATCGCACGCTAGCTACAGTTCGTGATCTCTTAATGTCGGTTTTAAGAACACTTCGCTTCAAGGAGGAATTTGCCGAGATTTGAAAGTAAAAAATGCGGATTTAAAAGAGAATTACATACAAAGGTCATTTGGTTAACACGCATGTAGTGATGGGGCTTTCGAAATATCGCGTATTTGAAGTCACAATGCCATATTTACAACGCTGAAAGATCAAAAGAAATTTCGAGAGGTGGTCATGAAATCAATATAGACTCTACACGCATGCACTCTGGGTCAATAACTTCCGCAGGCAAAAAAAAAGGTTACATAAGTTTATGCGGTCTGAAAAGCGTTTATTGACAAGAGCTGACGTGTCAGTTCATTCGGGCTGCTGTATTTTTGAATTCAGGCGGTTTGATTCACCTTTTCACCAAACTCTAAGCAACGTTGTATCCCTGAATTGTTTAACCATCAATTCATTTCGCTCGTGCTAAATACGATGCAATAGCTACGATTTTTCGGCCACCAGAGACATATGCAGTTATAATTATGCATCGTCTTTTTTGAATATTTCACTATCTCAAGTGGACTAGACGTATTTCTTTGGGCGATTTTCAAGAGCTCAGTGAAGGCACTCGACACGATGCACGCGATTTGTCAGTGCTATAGCTGATTTCAACGTTTCCACTGTGGAGAATTTTGTTGTTTCCCACACTTGGTTTGAAGAAGTATTTTCACGCTTTTGTTTAAGATATTTTTATTTTAATTCTAATCTCACTTGCTCGCACGCTCTCTCTCTTGCTCTATCTAATATGTCAATCAAGTGTCAGTTTTTTGTTCGCTCACGAATTAACTTGTTAACGATTAACTTGTTCCCTTGCTAATAACAACTAAGACGCTACTAACATTCACGACACACTCCCCCTATTTTTAAACATCCTAAATATAAAAATATGAATATAAACTGTTTTACTGACTGTTATTAGATTGTCCCAGTCACTTCCAGTCGTTTGTATAACTCATGCATAAATGTTAGTCACTTTCATTTTCAAGCTCTTGCATTCGCCGAATATTCACTGTTGCCTCAACCGCCGCTTTCCGCTTTGGCTTAAACTCTTCAACTTCGGGATTCAGTGGTTTTTGTTCCGAGCCCCTTTCATCACTGTGTAACTCCATTGGATAAAGAAACTGAATAGGTCTTTCTAGATAACTTTTGCCGGCACGAAGTCTCACCGCCCTGACAATTCCATCTCTCCCCGGTATTAATCTTTCCACGATTCCGATCTTCCACGTTCCTCGATTCTTTCCTTCTCCTTTGATAAGTACCACATCACCTTCTCGTAAATTTCCGCTTTTCCAGTTATGTCGTAAGTCGTGTCTTTCTCGAAGCGCTCTCATGTATTCATTTCGCCATCTCCGCCATAACGCCTCTTTACATTTCTTCAAATTTTGCTCTTTTTCGCATATCACCATCTTCAATTTCAGCACTCGGAAGTTCCAATAAATAATTGGCTTTACCCAATATCATCAGGTTAGGCGTGAGAACAGGTAATTGCACGTCATCTTCGCAATACGTTAATGGTCGATTATTGAGTGCTATCTGGATATCTAGCAACACATCCTGCAACTCCTTGTAGGTGAGTTTTGCAGAACCAACAACTTTGTACAACGAATTCTTTACCAACGCGACCATCCTCTCAAACATACCTCCCCACCAACTTGCTTTACTCAGATTAAACTGCCATCGAATTTGATAGTCGTGCAGAAATGCGTGAAACCTTTCATCTCGGGTTGCTTTCTTAATCCACTTCGCCGCAGCATGAAAGGTCTTACCATTATCTGAAATCATCTTCTTTGGTCTACCGCGAACCGCTACAAACCTCTTGAAACTTGCCAGGAATTCCTCACAACTCAAATCAGGTAAAAGTTCCAAGTGGAGCCCTCTTGTTAAGGAACAGGTGTAGATAAGGATATACGATTTCTGTTCATTGTTCTTGTTTCGATAGTAAATAGGGCCAGCATAATCTACACCAACGATTTCAAATGGCGTCATCCCTTCGGTTCTTTCTTTTGGTAAATTACCTTGAGGTGGAGTTGGTTCATGCACTATATGGAACCGCTTGCAACCATAACAACAACTGAGAACTTTCTTCGCCAAAGTTCGTAATTTAGGAATCCAGAATTCTTCACGGACTTTGCTCATGATCAGGGCAACTCCCCATGCAGGGTCTTCATATGAGCTTGCTTTACGACCAATTCAGATAATACATGTTTTGCTGGCAGATACACTGGATATTCACCTTGGATTCGTCCTTGGCACACGTATATTCCCTCGCCATTCTTTTGAAGATTTAATCTGGTAGAATCCACTTTGAAGATCTCAAGTGCTTCGCTCTCGGATTGTGCGCGTTTAATCAAGAACTTCATCTGCTTCTGTGTTTCTTCGGTCACTAATGGTCCGTTGACTTTCTTGCCACACACGAAGTTGTCAATAAATCTCGTGACCCAAGCTAAAATTCGAACAGTTTTAGTCAGACCGAATTTCTCTAGTAAACAATCGATGAAATCGGCCTCTTTCTGAATGGTAACTTTCATTACTTCTCTCATCATTCGACTTTCTGACTCGGACTTCTCGTACTACCGGTTTGTGGGGAATGTAATGCTCTCGGCTCCCTTCAGGTTTCTCAGGCGCAATCTCGACCACTCCATCTTTGAGTTGATTTTCCACTATATCATGATAAGTCTTCAGCAGTTCAGGCTGTTTGTCAAGTCGGTTGAATAATGACTGAAATCTCCTCTTGGCTACAAGGTAATTGGTCGGCAGCTCCGGATGGTGAGCCTTCCATGGTAACGATGTCTCATATCGACCGTCCTCTTGCTGAGTAAGCTGTTCTTTAAATTCTCGATACACGCTCCCTTGATCTCCTTCAACATGGTCTTCTAATCCAAGCACGTCCAGACTACAAAGATGCATGTAGTCTTCTTGGGAGCTCTTGGTAAACATCAAGTAGGAATGGTTCTTCTCTCGCCCCGGTGACATGATAATCCATCCCAAAGCAGTTTTCTCAGCGATTGGCATCCCATCGTTCCCAACCTTAGCAGGTACAGTTGTCTTGATTCTAGACATATCACTGGCACCTAGGATTAGATGCACAGGTAAAAGTGCTTTCTCATCAATATCATTCATATGTACTCCTTTAAGGTGTTCATGGGTTTCAATAAGTTCTTTATACCTCGGATTTGGCACTTTCATTAGCACATCCTTGTCGATTCGATTCAGTTCACATGACATCTTGAAATTGCCATCAACAGCTGCAATCTCCACCTCATAAACATCAATCTTCCTTGTTGTTGTTTGAAGCATCATCTCTATTGATTTAAATTCTTGTCTTATTGGCTTTTTTCCAATTGCGTTTAACAACGTGCTTGATGCAAATGAACTCCCAGACCCAGTGTCTAAAAGTGCTCGACACTTTAGTCCTCCCATCTCTACCACCACAACTGGATAAACTACATCCTTCCCACTAGGTTGACACAGCAGTTTTTGATTTGCGTTTAGTTTATCACAAATAGAAGTGTGATGCCTTCTCTTGCAGTTGTAACATTGGCTCCTACTTCTGCAATCACTTGCTCTATGCTTTTCGCCAGTGCAGTTGAAACACCGGTGCTTGTCGCTGAGAATTTTCTTCCGGTCACTGACATTCACCACTTTATCACATTCCACAGATCTGTGATCTTTGCTTTCACAATATACGCAATGTTTAGATTGTTCCTTTGTTAACAATAACTTATCTCGC